TTTGCATAAGTGGAATTGGAGAGTAGTTAAATCTGATGCCCTGAAACCAGACTGGTGTCAGGTGTTAGTTGTGTGGCTTCCATTCTGTTACTTAGTCTTTGCATCCCAGTTTCTTCACGTAACGGCAATCACTTACTTTAGCCAGCGGTGGTGAGAACTGAGTCCTTGAGAACTCCATGCACAAAGTGCTGTGTTCTTGATCATTATTACCAATTCCACTAGAAAGAGGCAAAAATTGGTCCGTTACATAAACTGGATTTCAAAGACGTGTTACCTCAATTATGACCCTATCATGTCCACTCCCACCTCACCTGGCTGTGTTACCTGCTTTGTATTTTCTACCGTCTGACAGGAGCACTAAGGGTTAATGAAAGAGACACAGAAGGTGGAGAGGAAAAAACCCGGGTCACGAAGAAAGTGACCTGTAGTGTCTGTCTCCAGACCCACTATCCCAGGCCTTTGAAAAGAAATGGACATATTTTATTGACGATCCATTACAGAAGTAAGGAGTATTTGTGATTAAAAAAATGCAAACAGCCAGCATGGTGGCGCACACCTGTAGTTCCACCTACTTAGGCTGAGGCGGGAGGATTGTCTGAACTCAGAAGATTGAGGATGTGAGCCCCGGTTGTGCCACTGTACCCTGGCTTGGGCGACAGTGAGATCCTGATTCAAAACAAAACCAAATAGGCAAACATGGATAAGATAGCCATGGTTAGCATTGGGTGTATATTGTCTCAGATTTTGTTTGTGCATTGCTTTATAAGAGTGAGATTATTCAATCTTTGTAACTGACCATTTCCATGTCAGCTATTGCTATACTTAAAAACAAAAAAACAAAAAAAAACTGCATGTATGCTTTTTATCAATTCTATGATACATCCTTAATTTCAGGCATATTAAAATGGCAGAATGCATCATAGGTATTGATGGCATCTTAGTTTTATTGGCATTTTTCTTTTACTTAGGACATAAGCTAATGAGAGGTCTTTTTTTTTTTTTTTTAAAGCCAGAGTCTCACTCTGTCACCCAAGCTGGAGGACAGTGGCATGCTCACGGCCACCACAGCCTCAACCTGCTGGGCTCAGGCGAGCCTTCCACCTCAGCCTTCCAAGTAGCTGGAACTACAGGCACGTGTTGCCACGCCTGGCTTGTTTTTTGATTTATTGTAGGTCTCATCAAGTTGCTCAGGCTGGTCTTGAACCCCTGAGCTCAGGCAGTCCTCTTTCCTCAGCCTCCCAAAGTGCTAGGATGACAGGCTTGAGCCACTGCGCCCGACCAAATGAGGGGTCTTATACCAGGTGAAGTCCTGGTTTCCTTGACATTCAGTGTTTTCACTGTACAGATAGATCATGGTCTAAGTAGGTCCCGATTGCAGGGCATTTATTGCCCTTCCCTCTCCTGCCACAATTGTAGTCAGTGCTGTTGAGGAACCTTGCATTCAATTTAGGAGATTTATACTCGGTGTTGGACTGGAGTCGCTTATTCAAATTTTACCAAATGTTTTTCATCTGCCTTCCAGAAAGAGGCCAACGAATACTCCTGATGGTGAACTTCAGTCTCCCTGATTAATACTGGCTAATTTTTTCTGTAATCTGCTGATCTGTATGTGAAAAGTAGCATTTAGTTTTGATGATGGGTGGTGGTTTTGCCATCTTCTGGGGCATTAATATGAATTCTGTGAGGTGCCCAGAGGGGCCCTTCCCGCTTTTTGAAAGTATTGGCATTTTCATATTGGTCTGTAAGAATGCTTTATTGAGGGAGCTAGTTTTGGCGTATGTTGGCAAACAATTTTATGCAACCATGAGTGAGTGTCACAGGGTTTTAATATTAATCTATCGGTGGTCCAGTTTAGTGCAGGCTGTGATGTACAGATCCACCTTGTTTGTCTCTGTCAGCCAGCACTCTAAAGTGCTCATCTTTTTTTAGGAGGGAAGAAGAGACCCTCTGATCTCTTGAGAAAGTGCCTTACAGCCTTTTTTCTGTTGGTGGGTAATGAATGTGCCCAAGTTCTGCAGGCAGGAAGAGGAAAACGGGCCTCCTCCGGAGTGCTTGAGTAATGCTCCCGGGGCAGGTGACAGCTGCATCGGGTGACCTAAAAGGACAGAACCTGGTGGAGGAAGACCAAGGCTGGAACACGGGGAGCCAACTGGAACAGCATGTGCCTAGCGTGGCCTCTCTCACAGGCGTCCGGGCATCGGTGAGTTGCAGCTGTAGGCTATTAATGGAAGCTGGGAATTGGGACAGGAGGGACCACGGCAGCAAAGGAAAAAAAAAAAAAAAGCACGAGCACTAGTGTGAGTTTCCTGTTGCCTGCAAGGTAGACAACAACCCAGAAAACAGAGTCTCTAGCTTCCAGGAAAGAGGGGCCAGTCAACGAACATTTCATGATGAGGGCCTCACCAGGGTTGATGAATTCCCATGAATTCAAGTGAACTCAGGGTGTGTATTTGTAGCGTTTAGGTCCCAGAGAATTTGATGTGTTTCCATAGAATAGAGATTCTGAGCTGGCTTTGGATGTATGGCAGGAGTACAAATTTAAAGTTGTTGCTAATTCTCCTGAGACGTGGAAGCCTGACTGAGGGTGGGGAGTTCCACCTAGGCCTGGTCAACCTGGAAACTTGACTTGGGGGCAGGGGGCAGGGGCCAGAAAGGCAGACGGTGGAAACCACATGGAGCAATGGCAGAACAGGGTCACCCATCTTGACTTTCGGGGAAGGAGGACGATGCTTCATCTGGCTGCCAGATGTGTCTGTAAAACAAGAAACACCCCTGCATGTATCCCAGCAGGGCCGTCCATGAAAAGCCGGCTTGAGTGGGGGCTGAGAAGCTGGCTCGAAAGTGGAACAAGCGCAGACTCAACTGTCCTCACAGAGAGGAGCAGAGGAGCCCGCTGGGGACGGGCGCAGTGCCGGGAACATTGCCATGGTGCCTGCTTTCGAGGCCGGCGATCCCGCTGAGCAGGTGTGTGGTGTGGAGGTTGCTGGGGAGCACCGAGGGGGCCTCGGCTCCGCAGGAGTGAAGGCCGCAGTGCCACCAGGGGCTTTGGGGGGAAGGGTTGTGGGCGATGAAGTGGGAGATGTGGAGTCGAGTGCTGTGGACGCGAGGAAGGGAAGCGTGAGGTGGATGACAAGCAAACAGGAAGAGGAAGCCAAAGGTGGAAAGCAGGTCTGTCCTGCACCTGCCCAGCAGCCGTCAAGGGTGCACGCGAGCCAAAGCTCAGGCCAAGCAGTGAGGAGTCGCGCATGGTGCGCCGCATGGTAGCTGAGCAGAGCAGGATGGAAATGTCAAGGAGGGAGCACAGGCTTTCCAGGGACAGCCCGAGAAAATGCTGTGTGCCGAGTCTGGGAAGGCGGCAAGGACGAGCCAAAAGTGTGACCGGGAACAGCAAACGTTCATCACTCCATTTCCAGAGCTCTGGGGGATGTCTGGTAAGCCACAGGCCAAGAAGTTATGCAGATAGGGTTGGGCTGTGCGTGGACGTGCTTCTAGTTTGGCGGGCTAGGGGAGTAGTAGAAATTTGCAGCAGACACTTGGTTAAATAAAAATCCAGAGGGCAGCAGAGAAGTGGCCTCGGCTCCAGTGTTAGTGTGGGGCGGCGCAGTGGGTGGACCCAGGCCTGACAGGGATTCACAAAAGGGGTCTTGGCTCTTTCATCCCGGGTACCATTCGCCATCTAGATCAGGACTCCTCCCCTCCAGCTCAGCAGGAGTGCCGCTTGTGAAGGACAGATACAGCAGTGGCTAGGGCAGGGTGGCAGGCTGGGGACCATGGATTTAAGGAGCAAAGCATGTACCATGGTCCAGTCGTGCTGTGGAAAAAAGAGTGGCCTCCCAGGCTCAACTTGAGGACCAGCTTGGGATCTTCTCAGGGAATGGAAGCAGCGTTCCCTCGGGAGAAGGGCAGGGACAGCTTGTGAGGGCAATGCCGGAGGCTGGGGTCTTCGACCCTAGCTAGCCCTGGTCCTGAAGGCAGCACCTGCTGCCGCAAAAAGGAGAGGAGGCCAGGGGCCAGGAAACCTCTGCCCAGCCCTTCCTAAGACATCTGAGATTTAGAGGGAGTCGCATGCCCACCAACCTGTGATGAGTTGATGGCAGGCCTCTGCTCTGCTGTCCTCAAGTCACTAAAAGAGGGAGGAGGCAATGATAAGACAAAAAACTATGCTGCCATTCCTAGTAAGAGTGTTGGTGTCCACTCTCCTCCCCGTCTGCCTTTCTGGCCAGCACAGGCAAGCAAGTTGCCAGGAGCTCGGGCTGGAGTGTCCAGGTCCACACGGTAGAGGATGTGGTCTGGGGAAGGCCAGGTGAGGCATCTGGGTGAGGCCAACTCTCCGTGCCCGAGACTCACCAAGTTGGCTTGCCTGTCCGCTCACTGCAGCCCAACCTGATGGGAGCACCCAGAGATGATGGCCGCTGGAGAAGGAGACAGGGTGATCAGGGCAGGCCTCATGGGTTGGGGCGGAGTGGCCTTCTAGGCTGCCAGCCTTACCACTCAGAACAGGAGAGAGTCACGCCCCATCTTTAACCGATCCAGAGTTAGCTTCTCACCACAGGAGAAGGTGAGTGGCTGAAGGGAACTTGAGGGAAAAACAGAGAGAGAGATGTGCCGAGGCTCTGGCTCTTCGAGAGGGTCAGGGACAGGAGCCCCCTGCGAGGGAAGGCCTTCAGCGTTGGAGGGGAGGTAGCCCTCGTGGTTGGAAAGGTAGTCCACCGGCAGGACCGCGGCGGGACTGGCTGGGTTTCCCGGCTTCGGGGCAGGGCCCCTGCTCCCCAGCACCCTGTACAGGTCCACTAGCTGTCTGGTCTCAGCAGGCAGGGCTGTGGTGGGTGGTGGACTGGAGGCACTGGGCACTGAGTGTTCCTCACAGGTCTGATGACCTTGGACGCCTCGGGCCCTTGCTGGCCAGCAGGGGCGATGGGGATGTCTGAAGCCTGAGGCCGCCTGATCCAGGACTTCATTGACGAGCAGGGGCTCAGGTTCCTCAGGAGCGGGCCAGGCTGTCAGGAGCCTGTCCAGGGGCAACTGCGTCCTCTCCTAGAGAAGGCAGGAGGAAGAGGCTTACGTCGCCGTCGGGTGACCTTGACAGCCTATTCTCCAGGGTCCCCAGAGGCCTCAACACCCCCCCTGCCTGCTTGGACACGGAGGGCCTCAGGCTGGCCGAGGTGAGAGGGGCGGTTTATGTCGTTAGGGAGGCAGAGCGGCAGGAGCCGGGACCCCCTCAACCCCGGCCAGCGAGTGGCTGACCTGGCTCAGCCTCCACCCAGACTTCCTCATGCGACTCAAGCGCTCTGCTTGCTTTCCCTCTTGGACAGAGAGCCCTGCTGGTACAAGGAGAGGCTGAGATGGCTTCTGGGAGGACCCGGGGCCACACCACAGATGATGAAGCCACCGCAGATTGAGGCCCGAGAGACCTGCGGTGTCTTTTTGGGAGGGAGGTGGTGGGCAAGGTGGCAGGCGACGCTTCAGGAACAGGAAGGGATTGCGCCATGCAGGGTCTACTCAGGGTTGCCAAGGGAGAAGCACCAGTAGGTTCCAGGCAGGGTGGCACCCTTGACTGATCTGCTCTGAGAAACACTACTCAGCAATAACTTTCTTAGAAGGATGCTCATCCTTTTTCCCCTCTGGCTAATGTTGTTTGTTTGTAACGGACACACTTGGCTCACAGTTTTGCGACTTCTCTTGCTTGCTTTCTCTTGCTCAGCATCCCAGGCAGCTCTTAGATGTCCTCTCTCCCCCTTTCCTTCAAACGGACCGTCTCTTTCTGAGTCCAAGTCCTTGGCCCTTGCCTAACATGTCTCTCACTGGGCTGTGGCTGGGGTCTTCTGCCGCCCCGGAAACCGCCTCCCACGCCGACCGCTCATCACTCCACGGCAGGACTCAGAGCCTCCGTGGCCTGGCCTCATGCACCGCCAGGACCCCAGCCCTTGGCCCGGCCGCCAGCTCCTGTCCTTCCTGCCCCCTGCCCCGTGTTCCCCACAGAAGCTGCCCTCAGCCACAGCCCCGCTCTCCAGTCACATGCTCCTCTCGGTGCCCTCCACTTCTGCTCCCACCGCCAGCCTCGCCCTGCCTGTGTTTGCGCTGAACTCCCCTGTGAGGCTCTCCCCCTCCATGCAGCGCCTGACAACTGTCCCTTCCAGCGGACTCCCACCACAGTGAGAGGCCACCCGTGAGGTTCCGGGTCCTGGATGTCTTGCGCCGTCACTTCCTTTTACTTGTCTGTCAGCTAATGTGTACGCAGGGGCCATGTGTAAGCACGTGGTGTGGAAGCCTCGTCTTAAGAAATAGCGGGGGAACGTGAGGCCTGGGAGCTCCAGGCACATTTTCTGGGGGGACTGACAGATGGATATGTTTCTGCTGTCTGCCTCAGCCTCACACCAGGAGAGGAGTTTGCACTCTAAAAACACTACCCATTTCAAGGGCCAAGCCTCGTGGGCTTCTGAGGCTGCCTCGGGGCCTTTGTCCTGGAGGCCATGTTTTAACTACTTAATTTTAAAAACTGTCTAATTCTCTGGTTATTTTTACAAAAAAATACACATGCATGTAGTTGTCTCAAAGTTTAAGTTCAAAGGGAATATGTAAGGAAGACTAAGTGGCCCTCAAACTCCCAACTCCTCCCCAGAGGCAACTACCACCATCGTTTCATATGTGGTGTGGGGGCGTCCAGAAATCCCCCGTGCACACGCTGCCGGCGTGTCGGTGTGTGTAAAATCTCGCTCCTTTTTACATAAGTAAGAACCCGCTTCAGACAGTTGTTAAGACCTTTGCTTTTTTCACTTTTAAGTATCTTGGATATCCTTAGCCACGTATATTCTCTCTCGTTTTGTTAAGTAGTTGCAGAATATCCTGTTATGTGGATGTCTCCACAAGTTTAACCTGCCTCTTTACATTATGCTCCGTTTTTTGCTTCTATCTACGATGCTACAGTAAACACATGTAAGCTACACGACTCTGGGCATGTATGTGCCAATTTCTGTTGCCTTCTTCCTGTCTTACCTTCTCTAACCCTTTGTGCATCTTTCTCAGCACTTTTTTCTGGGCCTTGTATGGGCCCTCCGTTGGCTCTGTCTACCTCTGCATCCCCCAGGCAGAGGCAGACAGAGCCCATGATGCCAAAGCTACCAGCTTGTTAACTGGGTGCCCACAACTGACCCAGAACGGCTTGCCACCATGCAGTCTCGGGCTTTTAGGACATGGAACTGTGGAATCCCAGCACTGGAAAGCACCTCAAGGCTCAGCTGGTTCAACCCCTGGTGCTCAAATCCCTCTGACACCAGCAGTGACATCCTTCCAAGTCCGCGTGGACTAGAGAGTACATTCTCACAGTTCATCAGAACACTGCCACTGAGTCAGGGCCGAGAGTGCAAATGCGTGTCTAGGGAGCCTGTCTGGCTCGGAGCCATGGACTGCTAGAAGCACGCCCCTCACCCTGAGCTGAAGATCTTCAGAACATACAGTGTGGAGGTGTGTAGCACAGCCTGCCTGCCTGGATGTGGGGGGCCATGATCCACCCCTTACCAGGTGACTCATGCTGGGCAACTAACTTAGTCCTCTGTGCCTCAGTTTTCTCATCTGAAAAATGAGGACACTAATAGTACAACCTCATAAAGCTGTGACGTGGATTAAATGTTCACGCCTAAAAATGTTTTCAGGCCTCCAGGACAAAGGCAACCTCAGGACCCGATGTGGCTTGACCCTTGAAGTGGGTAGACAGATTTTTAGAGCGCAGACTCCTCCTGGTGCAAGGTTGAGGCAGACTGCAGAAACACAACGGTCTGTCTGTCCCCCCTGTAAATGTGCTTGGAGCTCCCCAGCCTCACTCCCTCGCCATTTCTTAGAAGATAATGGTAATGAGTGTTTAACACATTCAGGTGTAATTATATGTTATATGCATATAATATGTAAAATACACAATGTGTGTGTACACACACACATATGCATATAAATATAAATACGATTCTGCCGTACTATCACTATTCTTGCTGTTGCAACTCAGCAAATCCCTCAGAGAAGACGAAGAGAAGTCTTCCTGGGAAGAAAGTGAGAGGCCTTTGTCTGGTATGACCATGTGCTTTACGTGGCATCTTGTTAATCCTCACAACAGTAAACAAAGGAGGAGTTGTCAATTCCCGTTTCACAGAGGATGAAATGGGGCTCAGTGTGTGAGGCAAGTTGCCCAAGCGTCATGCAGTCAGCAGCAGAGGCCGAAGTGGCCTCCAGGCCTGGTTCCGAGGCACTAGACTGCAGCGACTTAACTTCCTGGGGCCGAGGTGACTGGGATCAGCTCTTCTGAGCAGAGCCTGGGGCTGCAGCCTGCTGGCTTCTGGCCAGAGGAAGGGTATAGGTGACAGAACACGTGGGGGAGTTGAGGGGAAGAACCCTTGAGGAGAAGGGCTGTGAGGTCTCAGGGCGTCCTGGGCAACGAGGAATATCGACCTGTTTCTCTGCTTACGTTCTGATGTTTGCACTTTCCAGCCCCTCCATCGGGGTCATCCCAGGAGCTGTGCTCACCTCTCCCCCACTCCTTGTTGTCTCATCTGCCAGCCCAGAGATCTCTCCCTCTAAAACCTTTTCTTTGCACAAAGGAATGACTTCCTGGCTTCCTGCCCAAACCAAAATAGTGTGGGTCCTATTTATCTGTCTGTGCTCAGACAGGAAAGTCAAAAGTTTCAATTCTCTTTCATTTTAGGTGAGTCAACGCTCAGGCCGGGGCTCAGCGAATCACAAAAAATATTTGCTTTCCTATTTCTTTTGAAACCAGTTGAGGTGAGCAGGAGAATATAGGGCATACTGGGGGACAAAAGTCATGAGTCTTTTAGTCATTCGGCCACACACGTCAGAAGGTCCCTGTGCGCTGGCTACCCCTGAGTTGGAAGAGAATGGAGAGGGATGACCGAGCAGGGCCTTAGCGTGAGTGACGTCAGCTCGCCCACAGGGCCTCAGAACCATGCTTCCCGGAACTGCCTTGGAAAGCTTGGACGTGGTGATGACTAGAACCCTACCACCCAACCACCGAACATTATGCTTTACCTCCACAGTGGGAATCTTCTTGGCCCAAGTGCTATTTGCTGGGTCTGGAATTTCTCTGCTGCACCACTGAGGTCTCAGGGCCAAAAGGAGAACAAATACTCTAGAAAGAAAACTGACATTTGGTAAGTGCACCCTGTGTAGAAGCACAGGCCCTTAGTGCAGTGACTTCTGCAAATGAGTGGAACCCAAACGTCAAAAGTCAAAGAGGACATGTCGTCCAGATAGAGTAGTCTTTCTGTGAAGTTATGATTCAGCCATTGGGGTTTGCTAAGTAAACCATGGATCTTTTGTTCAACATGATATATATATATTTTTTTGAGTTGGAGTCTCACTCTGTCGCCCAGACTGGAGTGCAGTGGCCACTCCCGGCCACCGCAGCCTCGACCTGCTGGGCTCCGGCGATCCTTCCACCTCAGCCTTCCAAGTAGCCGGAATTATAGGCGTGCACTACCACTCCCGGCTGAGTTTTTGATTTATTGTAGAGAGGAGGTCTCACCGCCCAGGCGGGTCTCGAACCCGCGGGCTCAGACAATCCACTCACTTCAGCCTCCCAAAGGCGCGGGATTACAGACTGAGCCATGGAGCCCGGCTTCAACATGATATTTAGCAGTTCATCACTACCCAGCCATGCATTCATTCAACAAATATGGGGGTGACAAAAAAATGTATACACATCTTAAGAGATGTTATCTATGTATTACTTTTCAAAGTTGAATTGAATTACAGTAGCAATGTGTAGTGTGATGTTCCCTCAACCATGCTTCCATCATTTTCTTTGACTGTCCTGCCTGTCACATGGTGATGCTAGCATTCCTTTGATTAATATCATCTTTTGAGTGTTCATCATACTTGTGGTGTGTATACATTTTTTTGGCACCCCCCCCTCCCGTTTTCCCCCGAATTGACTGACCTAACATGTGACCAATACAGTGACACATGCTGGGGTCAGAACAACAAATAAGAAGACATGGCTCCCACCCTTATTACTTAGCTAATTAGAGTATTTATAAGGAGGTTGTAATGAAAGGTACATCATTATGCTAAAAGTTAAAAAAAAAGATTCAAAATGTTACAGCTAGCATAAAACATGCAAGAAAAAAGCATAATGAGGAAATATCTGAACTGTTAACAGTGGTTGTATTTGGTGATAAGAGGAAATATAGGCCTTTTAAGATGTAAAAGGAGCCGGCTCGGTGGCTCAGCCTGTAATCCCGCACTTTGGGAGGCTGAGGTGAGTGGATTGCCTGAGCCCGTGGGTTCGAGACCCACCTGGGCAACTTGGCGAGATCTCATCTCTACAATAAATTTTAAAAAAATTAGCCGGGCGTGGTAGCGCACGCCTGTAGTTCCAGCTACTTGAAAGGCTGAGGCGGAAGGATCGCCAGAGCCCTGCAGGTGGAGGCTGCAGTGGCCAGGAGCAGCCACCGCACTCCAGTCTGGGTGACAGAGTGAGACTCCAACTCAAAAAAAAAAAAAGATGTAAAAGGAAAAAATCCTAAAGGTATGGCACTGAAATATTTTGACCAGTTTTTAAAAGCTCAAGGCCAGTATGAAACATTTGTAAACACTTGGCTTTAACAAGCTTTGATGTCTAATAAGACAAGTATGCTTTATAATTCAACCTTTCAAGGTAAGTGATGTGACCATGTGACTTGTCTTTCTGCAGAGAGCTATGAGCAGAGGTGTCTGTGATCTAGTGGAGATCACACCAGTGAAGACAGTGCCCAGGACTGGTCGGCCAACGCGGTGGGAGAAACTGGGTCCCCACGTGACTTGGGGCAGAACTGCCTGCCAATCCAGGTGCCTCACCTCAGGACTGTTGGATGAGACAGAAGGAAACTTTTGTTTTAGTCACTGTAGCTTGGGCCCTCCTTTTTTTTAAAATATAGCAGTTTAGCCTTCACTCTAACCCATTCTCAGTATTTCCATGAAGAGGAAGCATGTGATCCTAGCTAGGTCTTTTTGAGTTAAACGTTTTCAGAGTCTACCTAAAGAAAGCTCTGCTTTAAAGTATCTGTCACCCATTGGGCCTTCAGTAATTGTAAAGCCTGTCAGGCAAGTTCAGTGGCTGGTAGAGTGATTTTGAGCTGGTTTATTTTGACCTCTTCTATTACTTTACACTGCATCAGAAGAAAACGCTGATTAAATAACTAGCTCATTAAAATTCTTTTCTTTACAAAATAATCCATGTTTACTGAAAAAATTTTAGAAAATATAGTTAAATTTTTTTTTAAAAGGCCGGGCTAGGTGGCTCAGTCTGTAATCCCAGCACTTTGGGAGGCCGAGACGAGTGGATTGCCTGGGCCAGAAATTCAAGACCTGCCTGGGCAACTTGGCGAGACCTCATCTCTACAATAAATCAAGAATTAGCTGGGCGTGGTAGCGCGTGCCTGTAGTTCAGGCTGCTTGGAAGGCTGAGGCAGAAGGATCGCCGGAGCCCAGCATGGGTGACAGAGTGAGACTCCCAACTCAAAAAAAAAACACACAAAACTGAAATCACTTATGATTCTCTCCCTGGATCTCACACACACTGTTAGTCTTGTGACGTAAATCCTTGGGGAAGAGCGACTAGTGCCCAGGCCCCATTTTCTCCTCCTCCTTGGGAGGTAGACCTGATGACCGGGGTGACGGCGAGCTCAGCTAAAAGCACGCCTCCCTTGTCTCACCACATTCTGGCCAGGGAGATGTAGCCAAAAGTGACATGTGTAACTCCTTGAAGGGAGTGTGGGCACCCGCCTCCCCCTTCCCTTTAGTTGTGGAATACAGACACGATGGTGATGGTTCCTACAGCCACTGGTGAACTCGAGGATAGAAGCTAATGTCAGGGCAGTGGAGCAGGAAAATAGAAGGAGTCTAGTTCCCTGACGACCGTGGAGCTGCCTCACCAGCCCTTTACATCAGTGGGCTTCCTTTACCTGGCTGAGAAACTTCACTGGTTCAAGTCAGATTATTTTGGCTTTTATATTATATACAAGCACATTTAATGCTAACTGATATCTCTTGCACCTGTGTGTACGTGTGGTTAAGACATGAAAGTACATACTGGTATTGTGTTGCAACCTGCTGTTTAAGTGTGATGTAGTAAATATTGTTCATAACGTTTCATCTTCCATGTCATTTTTAGTGAATGCATGATATAGGATAGTGAGATACATCATGAGTTAGCTGGTCCTTTATCACTGGGCACTAAGTTGTTTCAAATATTTTTCTTTTGTGAACAATATTTCAGTGAACGTATTTTCCACAAATTTCTGCAGGCACCTATGATATACTTAGAATAAATTTCTAGCTTGGGATGATTATGTCAAAAAGCAGTCTTAAAAAATTTGACACATACCATTGCCCAAAAAAGTTGAATAAGCTTAGTCTGCCCCCAGCAATGTGTGAGAGTATCCATCTCTCTGACCCATACCAGAAAACATCATTTTAAAAAAATACATTTACCAGATTGGCAGGTGTAACCAACTCACTTTTGCCGGAAGTAATGCACTGAGAAAATGCCCACCATGATGACAGCAACGCAAAGGCTCGGTGTCACAAACGCTATCCAATTGGCTTTACCTGCAAAATTAGTAAACCCTGTGATGGAGCTGTCTGCAGCCAACATTCCAAAATGCTGATGGCTGTGTGCACCCTCTGGGCCTGCCCCACAGCTCCTGGGCAGCTGGGCTCAGAAACAAGGCCTGCTCATTTGTGTCCACTCAGTGAGGGAGAAGGGGACCGATTCTGTGGTTCTAAGTGGAACTCAGCCACTCACAGGGCGAGAAGGACAGGAGGCACAGAACACGGCATGGCTGTGAATCAGGAGTCCTGCGTCCCAGTCCCGGCCCTGCCACTGACAGATGTGTGATCTGTGGACCTCAGCTTCTTGATCTCTTTAAGATGTGAGTGCTGATGTCCGCCTCGCAGCTTGTTACGAAGACTAGAGGTGGTGTGTTTCAAGGGCGTGGCTGGGTATCTGAATACGGAAGGGCCTCAAGAAACTTTTACCAGACCATGGGATGAGCCCTCTGGCTAGTCAGGGCCTCTGAAACTGGGCCCATGAAAAGAACGATAGCATTTCACTGTTGGAACAATTCATCAATTCATCCAACACTTACTGGGCAAGAACCATGTAGAGGCTCCATTATGTGCTGGGACACAAAGATGAGCAGGACACGGGCTGTGCTGTCTAAAAAAGTCACGAGTATGGGGCAGGAGATACATGGACCATAAGCCACTGTGCCGTGGGATATGTGTGAAAACAGGCTTGCACAACATTCACAACAGTGGAGCCCAGAGCAGCATGGGAAGCTGCCCCCTGAGGAGAACTGAGCAAGGGTGTCCAGAGCTTCGGGCTGGAGGGTGATTAGGAGTTGGCAAGGTGGACAGGCTAAGGAAGACCAGGCTACTTTGAACAATTATAATACCATAAGAAAGGGATTGACAGTAGCGGGAAACTGTCAGAGGAGGGGGGTGAGATTGGCAGTTGAGGGAAACTGCTAGGGGAGGGAGGAGCATACCTCATCAACAAGGGTACCTGCATGATCAACGTTTGTATGCCTAACCCTGAATTGTACCCCACGTCTTTACAATTAAAAAAAAAAAGGAAGACCAGACTGGACAAAGGGCCCATGCGAAGGCATGGGGGAGAGGCCATCAGCACGTTCAGGCAGCTGCAGGTCTTGCTCTTGTGTATGATGGTGCGGTGTGTGGTGGTGGGCAGGGCTGGTGGGTAGACAGGACCGTGCGGCCTGGTCATACACAGTATGAGTTCTAGCTTCAAGGCCCTTGGGAGCTACCGATGAGTTCCTACAAGAGATGGAATGCCAGCATCTGGGTTCCGCAGAAAGTTCTTCTGATTGAGGGAAGGACAGGCAGGGCAGAAGAGAGCGCGGGAGGAGCGAGAGACCAGGGGCCTGCCAGGCCCTGGACAGGCGTGATCACAGGGCGGGGGCGGGGGGTGGAGGGAGCCAGCCTCTCCTCCACTCTGCAACCGCAACCGAGAGACTCCGACGTTTCTCCAGTCGCTGCCTTCCTCCCTGGGCAGAGGGGACAGGTCTGGAGAGGAGCAGTGGAAAGACGCTTGGCCTAAGCACACGTGCCTTGCGCACAGGTCGGCTGGTGTGGAAGGGCTGGGAGAGGAGAGGTTGGCCAGCTTCCCGGTGGGGAGTGTCCTCGTGTAGCGCGGCGAAGCCTGAACGAGCGACTCAGTGTTCCGCCTCATGAAGCAGGAGCAGCTTGTGGAATGCTCACCGCAGATGCGAATGAGCTTGCTGGAGAGAACAGGGTCACTTTTCCGTGAGGAGACACCCCATCAGCCGGGTCACTAACTCACAGGTTCAGGTTCAGCTTCAGCGACGCAAGTCCTCTCACTTGCAGACCTGCCACTTCCCGCCTCCAAGACCGTGGGTGATCTTTCTGCATTTTACTCCCTTCACTTGTAAAAAGGCGTTATAGGCCTTCACTTTTTATTTATTTCATACTGAATGCCTGGTAAGATGTGCTAGGTATAGCTATGTGATCTTAGTAAGGATAACTTAGTGAAAGGGCCAGGTGTGCTGGCTCATGCCTGTCATCCCAGCACTTTGGGAGGCCAAGGGGAAAAGACTGCTTGAGCCCAGGAATTCGAGACTAGCCTGGGCAACACAGTGAGACCTTGTCTCTGCACAAAATAAAAAATTAGCCAGGTATGATGGTGCATACCTAGAGTCCCAGCTACTCAGGAGGCTGAGGCAGAAGGATCCCCTGAACCCAGAAGGTTGAGGCTGCAGTGAGCCATGATTATGCAACTGCACTGCAGCCTGGACAAATGAGTGAGACTCCAACTCCAAAAAAAAAAAGCAAAAGTATGCACTATAGGTTGAATTGTGTGCCCCTAGAATTCTTATGCTGACATCTTAAGCTCCAGTACCTCAGAACGTAACCTTGTTTGAAACATGGGGTCACACTGGAGCAGGGTGAGCCCCAACCCAAGATGACTGGCCCTTCTACAAAGGAGAACTCATGGCTGCACAAAGAAAGCCCGATGAAGGCAGAGAACTACAAGCCAAGGACGTCAATGATTCCTGTAAACTGCCAGGAGCCTGGAGAGAGGCCGGAACAGCCACCTCCCTCCCGCACAGCCCTCAGAAGGCCCCAATCCTGCCAACACCTCGATCGTGGACTTCCAGCCTCTAGGACAATGAGACAGGAGACTTCTGTCATTTAAGCCACTCAGTTTGTGGTACTTTGTCACATTAGCCTCAGCAGTCTCTTTTCAATGCGGACATTCTTGGGTTTATTGTGAGTCGATGAGGGCCTGCACCTAGAAGGTGTTGGACTTCTTTGTAGTGAAGCATGGCTTGTACTGATGCAGAAGATGGTGGGGTGGCATGAACTTGATCTCGGAGTTCTGGAGCTCCTTGAACTTGATCAAGGAGCCATGGAACTGCCTGATTGTCGCCAGCGGCACTTGCTGGCTGCGATCTTCTCTATGTCCATGATACGGATGAGTGGCCCTAGGTTCGGTGCCAGTGCCATGTCTTGACAGCACTGGGTGGCAGTGCCCACGTGGTCTGGCCTGGTACTGTCTTTTATTTTTTTGAGTTGGAGTCTCACTATATTGCCCAGACTGGAGTGCAGTGGCCGCTCCCGACCACCGCAGCCTCAAGCTGCTGGGCGCCGGCGATCCTTCTGCCTCCGCCTTCCAAGTAGCCGGAACTACAGGCGCGCGCTACCATGCCTGGCTAATTTTTTTGATTTATTGTAGAGATGAGGTCTCGCCAAATTGCCCAGGCGGGTCTCGAACCCACGGGCTCAGGCACTCCACGCACCTCAGCCTCCCAAAGGCGCAGAATTTCAGGCTGAGCCACCGAGCTCGGCTTTCTGGTACTGTCAATACATGTTGTGGGTGCCGTGAGGAAATCCTGGCAGCCAGATGCTCGAGCTCTTCACCCACCACAGCAGACGGTTCCTCCAAGGTTTCTTCATCTTCTTCAGCTGAGATGTACAGTACCACAAACAGGACTTGGTGACGGCATGATTGGGTGCGACGATGTGCATGTGGTAGTGCAAGTGTGGCCTTGGAGGTGGGGGGCAGGTGGCACCTCCCCTTCCACTCATGCTCTGGGCCCAAGGCCTTCATGGCAGCCGTCTCTGACCTTCTTGGCATCAGGGACCAGTTTGTGGAAGACAGTTTTCCATGGACTTGGGTAGTGGGATGGTTTCAGGATGATTCCAGTGCATACCATTTATTGTGCACTTTATTTCGACTCTTATTACACTGTGATATCTAATGAAATAATTGTACAACTCACCATTTAAAAAAAGAGGCATGGATGGAAGTGGTAATGGGCTAAAATAAGTATCAGATTCTGACTTAAGCCACCAGATGCAGCTGTACAATTGAAGTCCATTAACTCACTGGCCACTCGCTGGCAGGGTTTTGATATGAGTCTGCAAGCAGTTGAATTATGATGGTCTCTGTGCAGTCAAACCTCAACTGCTCATGTTCACCTGTATTTGCAGCCACTCCCCGGCACTGGCATCACCACCTTAGCTCCACCTCAGATCATCAGGCATTAGATTCTCATAAGGAGTGTGCAACCTAGATCCCTCACGTGTGCAGTCCACAATAGGGTTCGCGCTCCTATGAGAATGGAATGCCGCCACTGATCTGACAGGAGACGGAGCTCAGGCGGGCATGCCAGCCATGGGGAGCGGCTGTAAATACAGGCGAAGCTTCGCCCGCTCACCTCCTGAAGTGCGGCCTGGTTCCTAACAAGCTACGCACCCCAGGCGGGGGAACCTCTGCTTTTATGGCACTGTTTCTGCCCTTGTCGCCACCCGCAAAAGGAAAGCCCAACAAATTAAAATAGTTGCAAAGCACTTAACGGAATGACTGTTGCATAAGACAACCTGATACGCAATCACTGCTATTGTTATTGCTGATGTGATTTTCATCATTCATGGGGGAGATATTTAGTGAACAAGTACTATGTGCAGGGCACCATGCTAGGTCTTGAAGACAGAGATAAACAGAGATCAGTCCCTGCCTGCTGTGCTCAGATTTGAGTAGGGGTCAAAGGTAGTGCGTTAGGGAGGGAATATATATGGAGGTGCATTTGGGAAGGCTTCCTGGAGGAGACGCAATTCTGCTGATTTTGGAACATGAGTAAACACTGTCTCTAAGGAGAGTGTGGAATGCCAAGGCACTCCAGTTAGAGGGAATAGCAGTCCAAAGATGTGGCAGTGAGAAAGTTGTTAGTGAATTAAGGAAAATCTGATGGTCTCTATGCCAAATGTCGTGGGCGTGCATGCCTGCGTAAGAACCCTGGGTGACTTGCTGCCTGTAAAGTTGCCTCTTACCTTGCAGACTGAATTCCCTCTCATTTCCTCGGGAACTTTCGCCAGCAGCTGTCAGAGCTGTCATCCACAGGATATATGTCACTCCGGGCTTTAGGCTGTTTATTGTATGTGAATTTTGAGAGACTCTGAATGGAATTTCTGAAAGGAAGATAAAGAGAGAGGAAGAAAGTCACGTATTAAAGGAAATGGCTGAATGCAGGCGTTTACTCATTTTTACTTTTTAATGCTTCATTTAATTTGAAAGGAAAAAGCACTTTGCTGTTTCAAAATAGTGCTTGGCTGAGCAGAGTAGCTCATGCCTACAATCACAGTACTTTGGGAGGCCGAGGCGAGAGGACTGCTCAAGCCCAAGAGTTTGAGACCAGCCTGGGCAAACTCATGGCGAGACCTCATCTCTACAATAACAATTAAAACCTTAACTGGGCATGGTGACACGCGCCTGTAGTCAGTCCTAGCTACTCAGGAGACTGAGGTGGAAGGATTGCCTGTGCCCAGGGGTTGAGCTGTGATCATGCCACTGCACTCCAGCCTGGGCAACAGAGTGAGGACTCATAAATAAATAAATAGGTTCTAATTCCTTAGTTAATTGGCCCTAGACACTATCATTAATGGAAAGCTCATTCCACAGCGATCAAAAAAATTACATATTTTTCTGTGGTACAATATTTTGAAGAAACTTTTGTCATTTGTTTTGAAATTATTTGGCTGTAGTAACTCCTTTTATTTCCTATAACTATAATGTTTCTGACGCGTGCCAGATATATTTGGGAATTTTTGAGGAGAAAATGGAACGTTCAAATTGTTTTCAAGGTAATGGAATTTTAAAGAAAGCTAAGTTCAGCGGTGAATGAGACACAGACATTGCCTTGACATGCTGACATGGTGATTTTACACTTTTCTTTTTGTGGGTTTTGAGTATGGATCTCACAGGGCTTAATATGATGATCTGCTGCAATTTGACATAAAATCTTTAAAAACCTAGAGCAGTGGTACTTGGATTAGAGTTATCTGGCAGGTTGAGCCCTGGAGTGCCAGTTCCTTGTGCCCCTGACACCCCTGCAGTTTTCTCTGCAGGGAAGACTTCGTGTTTTGAGCAATGCAAGGCTGCTGGGCTTCCCCTCCAAGAAACGCAAATGCCAGTTGTCTCACCGAAGGCTCTCTTCTCCTCCAGCGACTTGCTGGTGTGGGTCTTGGAGGGACCAAGGGCTGGGAAGGACTGTTTTAAAGTCAACGCCAGGAGGGAGGGGGTTGAAATGAGAGTGGCAGTTGAGGGAAACTGCCAGGGGAGGGAGGGACATACTTCATCAACAAGGGTGTCTGCATAATCAACGTTTGTATACCTAGCCCTGAATTGTACCCCACATCTTTATAATAAAAAAAAGGCAAGGCCGGCACTTGGGCTGAAGCAGCCTACCGGCTCGTGGAGACACCAGCCTGTGCTGAGGACCCGAGAGAAACCAGAACTCAGCGCCTTGCATCTCCTCAGCACACACCGACTCCCGAACCCAGGGCACGTCAGATGACATCCTGCATGCTGAGTTTATTGCAGCCGTCATGAGAGTTTATCGAGCCCTGCACTGGATAAAGCACTGGCGATACAGAGGCACAAGAGCTGCCCCAAAAGGGCCCACCATTCAGGAGGAAGAGAAACCTCGACATCATCCCATCCCTGCGCACCATGGGTAGTCATCAAGAGCTAGCCCTGGCATGTGACCTCCACTCCACCCAAACGCTTGAGGCCTGTGCCGATACTTAACAGCTGTGATGATCAGAACAATTTCTATATTTTACATCCTGTTGAGAAAAGTCCCTGTGGAAAATTCCAAGTCTACTCTAGCCTGGTGAAATTGCTTGCGCAGACTTAAGCTCTGTGAGCTCAAAAAGCCCTTTCCCTATTCCTAGGGCAGGGGATTAAAACGTCCATTCTAGAGAGACCTTCTGCTCATTTTGCTGCAGCAAAGCATCAGCGAGCATCAGGGAATCAACCGTCCGACTGAGTGAGGGCATCCTTAACCCTGGGCGTGAAATGAGACATCGCAACAGAGGGGAAGGGACTCATGTGGATTGCGGGGCCAAGGCAGCATACACACACAGATTTGCAGAACAAAAATAGAGGCTTTATGGGGAATCAGTGAAGAGGATGATGGTGTCAGCAGTTTGGCTGGCAAAATAGGCTGAGTTGTGTAATAGGAGAAAGAAGTCAAGAAGTCGGACAGGAAATACTGGTCCTGCTGCCTCTGGGCTGTGCTCGGTGGCAGAGATCAAGGAGCCATTCAGTCCTTGACCAGTGTGGAACTTTATTTTAGTTTATTTATTTATTTATTTAGGATTGGAGTCTCACTCTGTTGCCCAGGCTGGAGTGCCGTGGCACGCTCCAGGCCACCGCAGCCTCGACCTGCTGAGCTCAGGCAATCCTTTCCATTTCAGCCTTCCAAGGAGCTGGAACTGCAGGCATACGTCACCATGCCCAGGTAATTTTTTTGATTTACGGTAGAGACGAGGTCTTGCCAAGTTGCCCAGGCTGATCTTGAACTCGTGGGCTCAGGCAATCCTCTCACCTCGGCCTCCCAAAATGCTAGGATTACTGGCCTGGCCAGTGTGGAACTTTAGATCCAGGTGGTTAGGTGACAGAGGCACCAGCTTGGGAAGATGTGACAGCTGCCAGTCATCTGAAAGGCTGTGGGCAGGAAGGTCATGTGGTGCCTGCTGCGTTGCCGCTGGAAATGAGCCTTTATCTAACAGTCTGTATTGTGGTTAACGGAGGGGCGGGCAGTATTCTGCCACTTGTTTTTATTAAGCCCCTACTATGCGTCTGGGTTATCCTAGGTACGAGGAGACAGTGGTGAGTAAATTGCCGTGGCTTATCAAGGGCACCTGCATCATGAACATTTGTATACCTAACCCTGAATTGTACCCTCCATCTTTAAAATTAAAAACTAAAAGAAAATTGCCGTGGCTTCTGCCTTCATGAGGTTTAGAATCGGTTGTCAAAGACAGTTGTGTAGTGGCGAGGTATAGTGTGTCCTCCGGAAGAGAAGCGTGCTGGCTGTGGGTCCGCTGGTGCACACGGCAATCTCAACAACCTCGAGTGGCCGAGCACCAAACCGCCTTGGGACTCGCTAAACTGCAGATGCCCTGGCTCAAAGCTCCCCTCTCCTGCCGAGGCAGGGCTCAGCGCCCGCTGCGGCTTCTCCTGCCACACTCTGCGTGTGCCCTCAGGACTGCTGCTTAGCCAGCGGTGCCCTACACCAGCAAGAGCGGCCCTTCCCGCTCCGAGACCGAGACCATCCTGCGTCGCCATCGGGATGCCTTTCTCTCCTGGTGGCTTTCTCCTCTGAGGTCCCCCTGCCGCTCCTCCCACTCTCTGGAAAGTGCCCTTGGGAATTCCCCAATGATTCCTGGTTGCAGGTGCATTAGGTGGCTGTCAGTCTCTGGCAGTGACGTCCCTTTTGGGCACTCTTCTGTCTCCCTCCGTAGACTGTGAACTTGTTGAAGCGTTCTGATAGACGCTTATGGAATTAAGTGGAATTTGATCTAAACTGGCCTAAAACAGGGCTGTGAATCTGCACCTTCCTTCCCCTTGTACCTTATTTCAAAATCCCCTCCCTAGGCTTTAGAGGCGTCAGCTTTCAGGAACCACAAGGAAGGTGTTTTCTCCAGCATCCACAAGAACGGCTTCAAGAACCCAGTGACCACGTATGCTAACCTTTGTGGCTGCAAGCAGGCGTCTTGATTTGAACTCTGCCAAATGAGAGCCACTGGGAGGAACATTTCACACAAAGGGTTTCAGAGGGTGCAAAAGAGGTCGGTGGGTTCCCTAACTCTTGGTGCGCCTCGCAGCTCAGAACTGCCTTACCCTGGCAGGCCCAGAGGGGAGCCGTTCTGCTCAGCATGAGGGGTGGGTCAGTTAACGAATGCCCGTGAGGCCTCATGATGGAGATGGTGGGGCTGATGAAAAGTAGATGGGGCAGCATCATACGGGCTAGGGTGAGCGGTCTGCAGGGAGTATGACCGAGAGGAAGGACGGATGCAGCTCAGAAGGGCAAAAGGATCCCCAGTACATTCTTGTATTTGCATGAAATTATTTTTCTGGAAGAACACACAGGGAGGCTAACAGCCTAAGTATGAAGAAAGGGAGACTTTTCATTGTATGCCTTTATGGACTACGTGAGTGTTTTGACTGTGTGCAAGTGTTATTCATAGAATAAAATTTAACTGGCTTTTTGAGCCCTACTGTGGATCTGCTAAGGTGGGGAGAGAAGGCCAATCCCAAGGTTGCCCTGGTAAGCATCCCCACCCCGTGGGCAGCTCTCTGGCAGCTACATCTCGCGGTGACTTTGCTCCATTTTCTTGAACCTCATAACTCTTGTAAAAGAAGAAAAACGTTCCTTCTTTATAATAAATGTTCCTGAAAGCAAGCCAGCTGCTTACAAAATAAAGAGAAGGCCAAGCCGAGTTAAAGAGAAGGCCTGAAGAAGCCAAAGATGCGAACGGGTCTAGCCAGTGACGTGGACCTGCCGCGTGAAGGGGCGCTCCATCCAGGCACTGGGACTGCGCTTCAGCCAGGGTTGATTTTAACTGCTTTGGTTTAGGTTTTTGGGGGGGTCCAAGTCTCACTTCGTCGCCCAGGCTGGGGGGCAGTGGCACGCTCACCGCGATCTTTCCACCAGCCTTCCAAGGAACTACAGGCGCATGCTACCACGCCCGGCTAATTTTTTGATTTGTTGTAGAGACGAGGTCTCACCAAATTGCCCAGGCTGTTCTTAACTGCCTTAGTTTTATAGTCGTAGAGTAATTATGGGTCATGAAGGGTTACCTAAACTGTATCCACTTTAAGGAGAAGATAGTATGCTATGATAGTAATTGCAAATGTGGGAATTTCAAAGCTCTCCAAGGGCATTTCTTGAGAACGCAAGGGTCTGTACAGTACTGAAGGGCCCTTGCTGCCTCCTGAGATGCTGTCTCTCCCTATAAGCAAGACCCGAGAGCTTGCCCGTGTGGTTTGTTTCTGGATTCTGAGCCATTTGCTTGGCATGTGACACAGATTCAGTAACTGTGTGTGGGTGAATGTGTGTGTGTGTTTAGTTGACTTTTCTATTTCTTCATTCAGTTGACTTCACAAGCACTCACTGAGCACTTACTACGTGCATGGTGCTAGCATTGTGTGTAGACATGCTACACGCACCTGCTTGTGTTTTCCTGACGCTCAAACAAGAAGGCGCCATGCGTTTGGTTCTCACACATACCACGGAGCCGCGGCTGAGAGCTGGAGGTCCGCTCCTTCCAGTATATCCGGTAATGGAGGATACAGCCCACCTGCTCCTGGGCTGGAACGCCGTTCCACGAAATGAAGGCACTCCCCTCTTCCTCGGTGATGGCATGAATGTGGGGGCCCCTCTGTGGTGCTGTCAAGGAGGACACAACAGGCTTCTGTCACCCTCCAAGTCCAAATCGTTCAACAAAAGCAACATTTGCCAGAAGGTCCCAAGACTCACGTTTGTGCTTGGAGTCACCCAGAACAGAGCTGCAGCCTCCTTGGTCCCCTGACAGTGCATACACGTGGATTTCGTAACAGATATAAGGCTGTATGTTCTCTGTAAGAAAAAGGGAGTTTTACAACAGACATGCTGTCAGTGGGGAGTGAGTCCCCAAAGGAAGCCATTTTAATATCTGATACGCACACACTCAAGGTGTTTCTAGCCTGTGCTTAGTTCAAAGGCGGTTCAAGCACAGTCTAGACTGAGGGTAAAGAAATGGCCTATGTCACACATTCTCAGCATTCTATTTGCCATGATGCCGGCTTCTGGAAGTCCCTGCTCCCGACTTCCAGGTATAAGATCAACCAACCAACCAACCAGCCAACCAACCAACCAACCAACCTATCAACCAACCAACCAACCTGAGCTTTTTCTGTAGAAACAAACAGGGTCATTGTGATTAAGGAAACAAAAGCTAGTCAAGTTCCAACAAGGATTGAAATATAACCATACAAACACATGCATAGACTGCTTTTGGAAACAAATGTAAAAAAAATCTTGCCCTCCAAGAAAATAACTTTGACTTCTACAAATCAATCATTTGCTACTGACAAGAGAGTGAGGCTGGACTTCTGCAGGCATAGAACCTGAGCTTTTCTGATTCCACAGTGCTTATCTGGATTTGATGAGCAGATGACACCTTGTGGCACGACTAGCCAGGGCACTCCATGCAACCCAACCCCTTGCTCCTCCCCCTCCCACCCACCACCCATGTTCCAGTTAGTTCTCAGTTGCTTCTGCCTGCAAGATTTAGAAGTCTTCTGGGAATGTGAAGGCTCCTTCCTGGCTTTTAAAGTGCCACATGCAGTTTTCTGTCGGTCATGAAGCTCAGCAAGTCCCTTTTCCCTGTCCAAACCCCTTATTTCCATAAGTCTCAGATTTCGACTGCCTGTGCAGAAAAGGCCACTCTCATAGATGCTGCTCATGATCTATCTTTATATTCCAAATAGATTTTTTTTTTAAAAGAGAGATAACTCTTACTAGGTAACTAGAGCATCAAGTGGCCAAAGTAAGGACTCCCTCCAACATTGCTTAATGCCCTGCTGGTAGGTAGCTAGGCTACCTGACAGTTGATTGGGGCTTAACTTTTTTTCAGGAAGAAGAATTTTTCATCACAGAATAATTTAATGTGTTGTGTATGTTTTATATGAAAATACATCGCCCCGTAAGTATTCTAGCAAGCAGGTTGCACATACAGCTCAGTCGGGCAGCTAGCACTGTCAGAAAAGACCATGACGAGACCAGAACACATGCCGTGGGTGAATTCCAGTTCAAGTGCATGAGCCAAGTTCATGGAGGAAAGGACACGGTCAGCTTATCCCGGAATCCCAAGACTCCTCACGGGTGGCATCAAGACCGAGAAGCCAAAAGGGCAGCACGGAACATGGAATCCTATTTCCCTGGGAGGGGCGATGTGTAGGTTTCGGCTCCTGGCTATCCTGTCCCAGTCATGGAAGGGCCCCCAGGCGCGGTGGGGATCATGGGAGTTCCAGATGAGCTCACCGGGCCCACAGTTCCACTGCATCTTGCCATGCCACTGTGAGCTCAGGGCGGAGGCCTTAGGGACTCTGCCTCAGAAGCTGTGGGTTTCTCCTTGGGAACAGCCCGCCTCAGTGGAGGAGGGAAGGCAACAAGGCCCCATAATGCGGCAACGTCTCCCTTCCACCGAGCCCTCCTGGCATGCTAGAGGTTCTGGCTTTCTGGCTGTAGGTTCCAGGGTTCCGATTCTTATCTGAACGCTTCCGAGTAATGTCTGCACCCCACCCATCATCTTCGGTGGGTGAAGCCCACCCTCTTAAGACACTCACTTCCCCTCTGGAGTCTGGCCCATTTCCAGACTCATTTCCACCACTCCCACCTGTGCATACGCACTTGGCCCCTTGGGCAAAATCCCCACCTCCATGTTTACCAACCGGGTCTTAGCTGGTTTTTCTGCAGAAAGCTCATTTCAACTCTAAGTGTGGGAGAAGGCACACGTTCAGTGATCATTAATGAGGAATAATCCTAGAGGTAGTAAGATGCAGCAGACAGAAGAGGGGCCTGACAGTCCAGGTCTGGGGAAGCTTTCCTAGGCATCACGATGTCATGCATTTGTAAAAGGTGTGGCTGTATGTGGTCAGAAGCGTCTTCACCCAGATAGGACAGGACTGATGGTCTCGAGCCTGGGCCCCCACCAACCTGTAATCCAGGAACCAGGCTGGATTCTGGCCCATGCCAGAACCCCCAACTTTGCCCACTCCGGGTGCTGGGAAAAGGCTAGTGAAATCCTATGGCAATGAGTGATCTTACTAACTGTAGAGGGTCATTTTGAATTCATGATAAGCATGAATTCCTTCATTTTTAAATGTTTATTTCCAGGCTGTAACATCGACATGAACTAATAGGCGAGGCACGATGGCTCACACCCATAATCCCAGCACTTTGGGAGGACAAGGCACGAGGACTGCTTGATCCCAGGAGTTCAAGACCAGCCCAGGCCACATAGCAAGAGCTTGTCTCTATAAAAAAAAAAATTAGATGGGCATGATGGTGCATGTCTGTAGTCCCAGTGACTTGGGAGTCTGAGGCGGAAGGATTGCCTGAGCTCAGGAGGCTGAGGCTATGGTGAGCTGTGGTGGTGCCACTGCACTCCAGCATGAGTGACAGTGAGAACCCTGACTCAAAAACAAAAATCCCCATTAAGGAATAGCTAGCCAAGGATTTCCAGCAGGAGAACAATTTTAATTATACTCACGAGTATGTTGATTTTATTCAAATAACTATTTCTGAAGTGCTTAAAAACATTTATTTTACTAACTATGGAAAACATTCTTTCTTGCCATCTATTTTATGGGATTTGTATAGAATCATAGAATTTCTAAAAGGAAGGAACTATAGAGGCCCTATAGTTCAAACTATCCCCAAGGGGTAAGTCTTGATACAGCTTATAATAATGTTTATTATAATGTTTACAATTTCATAGCCATTTAAAGTTTGGTAAATGGCCTTTTCTATTCACTATTTCATCCAATTTAATAGGCATATCAGTTCGGAAAGAAAGCTAATTCTAGGGCAAATACTCCAGGGACAAAATACCTGCTGCCCTGAGAAGTAATGTGTGTTCTGTTAGAGACCATCAAAGGTAGGAAAGTTCTTTCTCAAAATTGAGCTAACATCTGCCTTTTTAACATTTCCATGCAAGGCCTTAGTTCTTCTATCCAGAAAACAAAGGAAACGTCCTCTTTCGCGTGGACGCATCAAAACCAGCAACAACCCTCAGGCCACCCCTCACCCCCCATCTAGAATTCTCTTCTCTGGGCTAAATGGTTTCCAGAGTAAAAGTTCCAGACTCCCTTTGACTTGCTCTGCTCCCTCTGGATGCCGTCGGCTTGCTGAGGCAGCACTCTCTTCAAGGGTCCTACAACTCAACCTGCCAGAGGTCAGAGCAGTCAGACTCTGAAGTAGGCGCACAGTTAGCTAAGGACTCAGGCCCCGGTGCACTCTTGATCTCATTTGTATACATCGTGTCACCTTGAGCAGGGGTGGTAGATCTTCGATGCATGTAATGATTGTCATGATAGAATGGAAATCTTACAGGAGTAGAACTGGAGAACCTCTGTCACATATAATAATAATGACGATCGCTAGACTACAGAGCGCTTCTCAAAATGTTTTCTATATAGTAATTCAGTCGGTCCTCACACTAGCCCAATGAGGTAGGTAATATTATTGTCCTCATTTTTCAGATGAGAAAACTAAACAGAGAGAAGCTCAGCAATTTGCCCTGGATCACCCAAAGAGAGCCAAGACTCACACCCAGCTGTCTAACTTACGCTCAGAATGACATTAAGTTCTGTCCCATTGCTTTGGTATATTTTCAGATGCATTCTCTCACTCGATTTGAATCCCTTGATTCCAACCATTGACAGAATAGGAAGCTGAGGGTCAGAGACACCAGTGGTTATAGCTCATTCTGGATGTATTATTCTACATTTAATAAGTCTCAGAATTGGGAATGCAGGATCTCCGGGTTTCTTCATCTGTAAATTGGACACAATGCCACTTACCACGCATGCCTGTCTTAAGAGACAAATGAATTCCCAAAGATAAAGGTGCCTAGCACACTGACCGGCTGGCCTAGCTCTCAGCCATTCCTGCTTGGCTCCATTATCCATTGTCTGGCACTATACTAGGGACATGGAGTTTCCAGAATACTAGAATTTTTAGTCAACCACTTGGCTTCTATGGCTGCCAAGAAGTGGTGTATTCTGAGGTGCTGACTGGGTGGACCCCAGGCCATCACTGTCCCTCTCCCCATGCAGCGGGGCTCTGGGCTCTTGTCTGCCATTTCACCAAACAAAGGTGGACTTAGTGAAGGATTAGGTACCTGAAATCAGAGCAGACACATTGCTGGGGGGACTCCGCAGCCAATTTGGACGGGCCTGTGAGCTGCCCCCTGGACCAAGCTCCTTCCATTCCACCACGTATTCCTGAACAGCAGAGGAGGCGTTCTCGGGAGGCCACCACGTCACCACAATGCTGTCCTCACCGTTGGAGTCTGCAGAGACCTGGCGAGGGGCCAGCCACCCTGTATAGGGAAAACCAGGAGGGACATCAAACAAGAGCCGAGATAAAGATTTTTAAAAAACAACAACTCATCCCAGCAATGTTTTAGGAAGAAGCGGATGTCTTTTTTAGGACTTTAGAGTCACAGATTTAAGTTCAGCCTACGTCTCAGTTCCTGAGAAACTAGCAGCGTCAGCTTGTGCAAAGATCCTGCGAGGTGTTAGTTATCGAATCATTTCCCCCTCACCTTCCATTCCTCTTTCCAGCCCCAAAGGCGCCCGCTCCCCTGAATATAATACACATCCTTCTAATTCATCTTCCGTATATTTATTTAGACATATATTTATCCTTGACATTTAGTGTCGCTTTATGCTTGTGTGTTGAATTTTCATGAAAAGCACTGGGAGATAAATCGCTTGCTTTTCCTATTTTTTTTTTCACTTGACATTGTGTTTCTGGGATACACCCGTCCTGCTGCTCTCTGTAAATCCACCTCACTCCTTTGGTCTGTGACCTAAAGCTTTTCTTCTCCAATGTTCTAGTGGCAAGCGGGAGCAAACACAAACAAGGCTGCAATGAATGCTCTCATGCACGTACTCTTGTGAGCTTGTGAAAGAGTGTTTCTGGGTATGTGGACACAGGAGTGCTTGATTATAGAGTCAGTTCACATGGTCTCTCTAACTACTGCAGATTATTCTCCAAAATAGCCAGTTGACACTCCAACAAGAAAAGCATGAGGGTTGTCATTTCTCTACCAACACTTGGTATTTTCTGACTTTCTAATTTTTGTCAGTCTGGTGAGTGTGACGTGGTATGTCATTGTGGTTTTATTTTCATTTTTCTGATTTCTTCTGAGACTGAGTTTCTTTTCACATGTTACTAGCTCTTTCACTTTCCCCTGCCTATTTGTCTATTTTAATTATTTTTTTTCTGTTGAGTTTCTTGTCTTCTCTCTGATTTGCAGGAAAAGCTTTTACATCCTCGGCATTAGTCACGGGTTTTCAACACTCTCCTAGCCCAATCTGTCAGCTCTCTGATAACTTTATGATGTGTTTGCACACAACTATAGCTACTTTGTTATTGGTGCATTTACCCATGGTTTGTGCATTTTAGGTGTGATTATGAAATCCTTCCAGCTGCATTTTCTCTAACTGCTTTTAGCTTTATCTTTCACATTTAGGTTTTTAGTCCAAATCCAGCTAAGAGTTTTTGTTTTTTGGTTTTTTTTTTTTAAGGGATTAAACCTTACTATTTTTTCCACCTAGTAAGTCCATTTTTCCAAATCTCATCATATCTGGCAACCCCCATCCGGCCCATACGCCAAGTTCATATATTCATGGGTCTGTGTCTGGGTTGACCTCTTTATCAGAAAACACTCTTCACGTTACTAGGCTTTGTAGTGTCTGACCATTTGGTTGGCAAAGTCCCCTTCTTTTTGCTCTTCTTTTTTCAAAATGATCTTAAATACTCATGAAAACTTTATTCTTCCATATAGTTTGTAGACTCAGTTTGTCAGAGTCCCCCAATATTCCAGCTGATATTTCTATTGGAACTAAATAAAATGTAGAGAGAATTGATACTGTTACAATGTTAAATTATCTCATTCATAAATATGCTATTTCATGGAAATTATTCAGATTTTCTTTTATATCTTCCAATGGAGTTTTACAAATTTATCCTTAAAGTTTCCATGTGTTCTTTGTTAGGTTAATTCCTAGACATGTTATACTTTTAGTTTGCTACTTAAATGGCACCTTATTTTTCACTGTTTTGTTTTTTTTTTTGACTATGTGTATTATCTTATGTGGCAAACTTACTAAACTCTCTAATTAGCTCTAATAATTTGTCTACTGGTCTTGCCGAATGTTCCCTGTAAATAATCTTATTAGCAACACAGTAAAAATCTTCTTCCAATTTTTAAATTAAATTTCTTATTTCCTTTTTTTGTTTCTATCGTATTGCTAATTTTAAACAGATTAAAGAGTCTGTATCTCTTTATTAAGATGATGTATGTTGCATGCCTTTGGTAGAAAGTCTTTCAAAAGCTAAAAAGTTTTCTTTTACTCATTTACTCATAGATCTCAAAGAGTATTTTTCATGGAATACTGTTTATTTACTACAGACTTTTTTAGCTGAATATATTTTTCTACATCTGGTAAGAGCATATCCCTTTCTTGCTCTTTCAGTTTTAATGTGATGAATTATCTGGAGACATTGTTCTGATGTTGACCCATCTTTGTGTTACTGGGATCAGCCCTACTTGATCATTCTGTAGTTTTCTTTTTTGGCTGAGATTTTTTTAAGTAGACTATTTTTTAGAAGCAGTTTTAGGTTCACAACAAAATTGAGGGGAAGGTACAAAGACATTCCATATCCCTCCACCCCCACATCTGTACAGCCTCCCCCAGTAGCAAAATCCTGTACCAGAGTACAGTGGGATGTTTATCACAACCAGTGAGCCTACACTGACTCATCCTTGTCACCTGAAGTCCACAGCTTACATGAGGGTCCATTCTTGGTGTTGTATATTCGAGGGTTTTGAAAATGTGTCATGACAGGTGCCTGCCATCACAGCATCATACGGAGTGGCTTCATTGCTCTGAAGATCTTCTGTGCGCTGTGTACTCATCCCTCCCTTCCCCTGACCCTTGGCAACCATGCCATCTTTTACTTTCTGCACAGTCTTGCCTTTTCCAGAATGTCTTGTCGTTAGAATCATGCAGCATATAACCTTGTCAGACGGGCTTCTTTCACGTAGTAACACACATTTAGGTTCCTCCGTATCTTTTCATGGCCTGAGAGCTCATTTCTTTTCATCACTGAAGGCTACTGAATGATCTAGAAGCACCACCACTTATTTATCTATTCACCCCCTGAGTGATATCTTGTGTTTTTTTTTTTCAAAGTTTTGGCAATTCTCAATAAAACTGCTTACACATTCATGGGCAGGTTTTTGTGTGGACATGAGTTCTGAACTCCTTCGGTTAAATACCAGGGAGTGCTCTTGCTGGGTCCTATGGTAAGAGTGTGTTTAGTTTTGTAAGAACTGCCCAACTGCTCTCCAAGTGGCTGCACCATCCTGCATGTCCATCAGCAGCCAGTGAGTTCTTGCTGCCCTAAGTCCTTGCCGGCATCTTATGTTGTTAGTGTTATAGACGTCCTTCATTCTAATAAGTGTGTACTAGTATCTCATCACTGCTTCGATTTGCAGTTGTGTAGCAGTTTATGACATTGATCACCACTTCACATTTTTATTTGCCGTCGTCTTTGGTGAGGCATCAATCACATCTTTTGCTCACTTCCAATTGGTTGCTTGTTTTCTTAAGGTTAAGTTTTGAGTGTTCTTTGTATATTTTGGATAACCATCCTTCATCTAGTATGTCTTTTTCAAATATTTTCTTTAGCTTATGATTGTCTTCTCATCCTCTTGACAGCGCCTTTCACGGAGAAGTTTTTAGTGTTATGAAGTTCACGTTCAGCGTATCAATTCTTTCTTGCATGGGTCGTGACTTTGGTGTTGTGTCTAAAAAGGCATTGCCATGCCCAAGGTCACCTACGTTTCCTCCTACGTTATCTTCGTTTTTCACTTTATAGTTGGGTGCATGATACACTTGGAGCTGATTTTCGTGAAGAGCTAAGGTCTGTGTCTAGATCCATTTTTTTGGCATATGGATGTCACTTGTTCTAGCACCACTTGCTGAAAAGACCATCTCTGCTCCTTTGTAAAGAGCACTTGAATATAATTATGTGGGCCTTCTTCTGGGTTAATTGTTCTGTTTCATCGATCTATTTATTATTTCCCAATACAGTAGTGAGAGGGGACATCTTTGCTTTTTTCTTGATCTTAATGTGAAAACCTCCAGTTAAACATGATGTCAGCTGTATATATATTTTTTGTAGATGTTCTTTATTGAGTTGTTGAATTGCCCTCTATTTCTGGTTTACTTCGAGTTTTTGTCATAAATGGGTGCTGGATTTTTCAATGCCTTTACTGCCTCTATGGATATGACCATGCGATTTTCTTCTTTAGCCCGTTGACATGCTGAATTATATTAATTGAGTTTTGAATGCCGAACCAGCCTTGCATACCTGGGATAAATCCCACTTAGTCATGGTATAGAATTATTTTTATACATTGTTGGATTTGATTTACACACACACACACACACAGACACACACACATTTTTTTTTTTTTGAGTTGGTGTCTCACTCTGTCACCTTCACTAGAGTGCAGTGGTACATTCACGGCCACTACAGCCTCGACCTACTAGGCTCAGGAGATCCTTCCACCTCAGCCTTCTAAGTGGCTGGAACTGCAGGCATGTGCCACTATGTCTGGCTACTTTTTAACTGTATTGTATAGATGAAGTCTTGCCAAGTTGCCCAGGCTGGTCTTGAACTTCTGGACTCAGGCAGTCCTCTCGCCTCTGCCTCCCAAAGTGCTGGGATTATAGTCCTGGCCTGATTTATTAATATTTGCTAATATTTTGTTGAGGATTTTTGCATTTATGCTCATGAAAGATATTGGTCTATAGTTTTGGGTGTTTTTTGCTTGTTTTTGTAATGTCTTTGTTTGGTTTTAGTATTTGGGTAATGCTGCCCTAAAGAGTGAGTTAGAAGTATTGTCTCTGCTTCCATCTTCTGGAAAATATTGTAGAGAGTTAGTATACTTTTTTCCTTATATATTTGGAAGAATTAATCAGTGAACACACCTGGGGCTGGTTCTTTCTGTTTTGGAAAGTTATTAAGTACTGATTCAATTTCTTTAGTATATATAGGCCTATTTATACTGTCTATTTCTTCGTGAATTAGTTTTGGCAGGTTGTATCTTTCAAGGAATTGGTCCATTTCATTTAGATTATCAAATTTATGGACACAGAGATGTTCGTAGGATTCATGTATTATCCTTTTGATGTTCGTGGGATTAATAGAAATAGCCTATTTTTATTTATGTTATTAGTAATTTTCTTCTTCTTTCTCCCTCTTTTTTTCAGTTAACCTGGCTGGAGATTTATCAATTGT